TGCTGGTATCTTGGGAGCTAGGAACCAATCTTTCTAACTGATCCCTTCTTGATGGTACATAGTGCTAGCACTTACACCACTGTGTGTATCTGCAGTCATAGAAGTCATTTGCAGACAAACTGATGCTATGGTCCAAATAAAACATCTTAATGATTTTTTTTAGAAGAAAAATCAAATATTTCATTTTAATAAATTGTAAAAGAATTTGAGCCAGGTTGATAAACTGGTAGAAGAGAGAAGACCGCTACTAATACAGAATACTAACAAAGTCGTGTATCCTACTAATACAGAATACTAACAAAGTCGTGTTTTTCTTTTCACGTCAATCTGCAAGGATGTGTTTTTACTGCATTGCTACTATAATGTTTCTACCTTTACCAATGTTTTACATGTAAGCTGCAAGTTCTACAACAGGTCCTGATCTCACTGCACTAAAAAGGGAGCCCTCACGAGTACCGAATAAGGATCCTTCTGCCTGGTCAATAGATGAAGTAATGCGATTTGTGAAAGAAGCTGATCCTCAGGCATTAGCACCACATGCAGAACTCTTCAGGAAACACGTATGATATTTTATTCTGATAGACTTGAGCACATCACTAACTTTCATAAGAAGTTTTTGTGAGTTTCCCTGCTATTATTGAATTTGAAGTGAAAAGTGGGGCAGATGCCACCCACATACAAATTCATTAGATGATTTTCTTTCTCTAGAAAGCATCTTCCAGTTTTGCTAAGCTTGGGAACGCTTGATCTATAAAGTGACCTTGTTAGACTGTGCTAAACTATTGCTTAGGCGCTGTTACACTACTTGTGCTACAATGTCATAGCTGCATTGCCATAACTATGCTTCCAACAGGGATAGAATGGGTTTGTCCGTGCTGTAAGAATCCCACCTTTCTGAGCAAGTTCAACAGAAATATTCTTCTGGCTGTCTACACACCAGGGCTACGTCTACCCCGCAGGGTTTTTGAGCAAAAATGGCTGTTTTTGCGCAAAAACCTGCAGTGTGTCCACACCTCAAATGTGCTTTTGTGCAAGTAAATCAGCAGTTAAACAGCAGAAGAGAGGGCTTTTGCTGGAGTAGGTAAACCTCCTTTTATGAGGGCAGGGCCGGACCGAGCCATTCCAGCGCCCTGGGCAGACAGGTTAATTGCACCCCGGGCAGACATGTTAATGTGCGGTCCCGCCCCTACCCGGTGCATGGGAGAGGGCACGCGGAGCTGGCGGCAGCAGGATGCCCGGGCCCGCTGGGGGCAGGCCATGCCTGGCCATGCAGGGCCCCGCAGCCGCGGGGGAAAGGGCGCTGCTGGCCGGCGCTGTGGGGGTTAACGTGGCCCCCGCCCCAGGCGGCCACTGCAGGGTGGCCGCTGGGAGCTGCTGCAGCCCGCGATCCAGGAGCCAGGTGCACGGCACCTGATGGCAGCTGTAAGGGGCGCACAGTGATCCAACCCTCATAGGCTAGCCCATGCCTTAATCCGGCCCTATATGAGGCATAACTCCCTTTTGAGCTGCAGCTATTGCGCAAAAAGGTAAGTGTGGACACTCCAGAAGGGTTTCTTGTGCAAGAAGCCCCTATGGGAAAAGCACAGGTGCTCTGATGGCTATTCTATGAATGGCCATCAGCGATTTCTTGCACAGCAGCATCCATGGAGTGCGGACACTCTCTTGCACAAAAGCACATCACTTTTGCGATGCGCTTTGAGGTGTGGATGTGCTCTTGCACAAGAAGTTTTTGCGCAAAAGGCTTCTTTGTGCAAGAGGCCTGCAGCATAGATGTAGCCCAGGAGTTAGGCCAGCATAGCTGTGGAGCTCAAGGTAGGGTATCTTTTCAAAAGGCAAATGTGAGATATATGCGGAAGCTCTGCCCCAACTCCTCCCTCTGTTCATGCTCGCAAGGGCTCTAGATAAGTCAGCCTAAACTTTAAGTATAAATCAGGCCTTACAAGCTTATACAATACAATGAGTAGGGTGTTTACTGGTACCCCATGCTCTGAGGGCCACAAGAATCACCACTCATGGTACTTCTAGTGCTAGTTACTGTAGCTTCTTTGAGTGAGGGTCCCTATTCTGTTCCACTGTGGGTTGCTCATGCGTCTAGAGCTGTAGAATTTGAAAGTAGTGTCTGCATGTGCACCCTGGCTGTCCTCATGCCTCTGATCAAGGGGATAAAAGACAGGGTGGACCAAATGCTTCTCCAGTTCCTTTTCACAGCTGCATCGTTTAGGTCAGAACCAGTAGTGCTTGCAGCTTTGGCCTACAAAATAAGAATGATCTAGTTTGTAAATAGAACCTTTATGCTCCCCAGATGTGTGAGACATCCTCTCCGCTTGGAATTTTGCCGTAACCAGTCAATTCACTTACCAGTGTTCTTTCTAAAGCCTCGTACTTCTGCAGAGTAGGGATTTGAAATCCTGTTTAATTAGTTAACTGGTTAAGCATTGTGTTTAACCAGTTAACTGATTAAGTGGCCGTGGGTGGGAGGAGATGCCACAGGCCGGGGGCTGCTCTTGGCGTGCCTGGCCTGGGCCCAACATAGATGGCGGCTGCTCCAACAGGGCTGGAGCATCCCCCACCCACAGCAGACTCCACTGGTTAACTCTTAAATTGTAAGCATCACTTGGTACGGGTGATGTTTACCAGTTAACCATTCACATCTCTTCTGCAGAGTAACAAATAATCAAATCCCTTGATGTAGGTACAAAATCTAAGGCCAGCCATACAAGGAACACACAGGTAATCCCCGAGGCATCAAATCCCTTGATGTAGGTACAAAATCTAAGGCCAGCCAAGGAACACACAGGTAATCCCCGAGGTTGTTCATCACTTTATCAGAAAGAGTCAGAGGAAAGTGATGGGGGCAAGAAGCAAATGTGGGGCAGGAAGTGCAGAGCTTTCTGCAGCTGAGAGAGGTACCCAAGAGCAGCCATGCAAGGGAATAGCAAGTATTGTCCTTCCCAAGCCAGTCAGGACTAGCAGTTAGGAGCCCCTAGCTGGGGCACTCCTAACAGCACAGGGGAGATCAAACCTACATCTACCTCTTGGAACCTCCTGCAGCTGTAGGAAGCACAGAAGTGAGAGTGACCCCCTACAAAATGTTTGGGATCTTCCCCCCCTCCCCCCCCCATAATCTCCTTTTGGGTTGGGACTCCACGGTTAAAATGGTGTGAAATTTCAGGTTTAGACAGCTGAAAATGTGAAACTTTCCAATTTTCAAATCCTGTTGCCATGAAATTGGCCATAATGGACTGTGAATTTGGTAGGGTTCTATTTCTCAACTTTCAAACCTCCCTCCTCACTCCTCCCATGGGGTAAGAGCTCATTCCGCCAGAGCACAAGCAATAACCATTGGCTCCCTTCATACATGTGCAAGAAATCATTCCCAGGTAGAGGACACTTCTGTTAATGCTGCCTTTGTGATGGTGGTACTCCACTTAGCCCGATTATCTGCCCCTTCACATCCTACTCATGTAGGTACTGCTTGTCAGTCACCCATAGTGAAATACAGTAGGGACCATCACTCAAAGAAGAGGAGAGGGTCATTTACCTGCGACTAGAGCTTCTTTGAGATTTACAGTCCCTATCTGTAGTCTACTTCCTGCCCTCCTTCCCAACTGCTTTTGATCTTATATGAGTCATGGTACAGAATGAACTGGAGAGGCTGCCAGTCTGCCCCACCTTTTATCCCCTCAGTTGGAGGCATGAGGTGAGCCAAGGCACATGCACAGACCAAGGTACATTACTTTCCAGTTTTCTAGCTCTGGGCACATGGTGCACATTTGTATCCCTTCGTGAAATACAAATAGATCCACACATCTCGAAGAGCCTTCAGTTAAGGGTAGATAACCTTCTCTTTCCAAGAGATCTTTGTTCATGCTGACCACTTAGACACAACTTATGGTCTCTCCCAGGACAGAAACTTTCTCATATCTCAGGATAGCTGATCCTTAATATTAACAGTTAAATGCAAAGCTTGGTTACATTTAAATAACACAGTTTTATTAGGAGAAAGATGAAAGGTTAAAAACCAAAGATAAAAGCATTTATTTATGGTCTAATCTAGCCAAGACTCTGCAAATCTTCACTAGAACTATCTGCATGATGTATTTAGGAAGGTCAAAAATTAGTAGTAACTATCTATGTCAGTCCCTTTATATTTACTCCTTTCGTTCTGCCCTTTCTCCTTTCACTGTGCAGTTACATGATAGGCTGCCTAATAGAGAGCTGCTGACATCTCTAAATATCAGTGTCCCCGCCAAGAAACGCTTGGCGCTTTTTATTTTTGGACCCAGTAGAACAGAGTCTCTACTGCCTTGTGTATTACGCCTGGGCAAAAGGGATGTAAAATGCTACCAAATGTGAATGGTAACATTTTGCATTCACTCTGCACCAGATCATAATAAAGTCTACAATAAGGTAGGTCAAAGGAAATGTCGAGATACTGAAATATAGATTGGAATAGATAGATGTGCAAAACCAGAGCTCACCACCTCCTCTTTCTTTTTCTGTATATTTTTTTAAATAGGGGTCAACTTTCATAGTACTTTTCAGCCCGTTGTATTTTCTTTTGAAAGAGAATGGTTTCAACATGCAATTCTAAGGAAATATTTGCTAAATTGCCAGTCATATGTAGAGCAGGGATGGGGAACCTATGGCCCTAGCCCACAGCTTGCCTTGGTCCGGCCTGCAAGGCTTGGGGCTCCTCCTCCCCCATCAGGGTGAGCCAGTGCTGACATCCCCTTGCATGGCTGGAGTAGGAGCACCAACTCCCCACTACTGGGGATGAGCGACTTCAAGCTTCATGGACCAGATCAAGGCAAGCCCAGGGGCTCTGCCTGGTGTGGAGGAAGCAGCTCTGCACTCTGTTCCCCCTACTGCCCGTCTGGAGGAGCAGCAGCACAGGGAAGCGCCATCCCCGTGCTTGCTTTCAGGCGCCACCTCCGTCACTCCCACTGTCTGGGAATTGCTGCCAGTGGAAGCAGTGGGGCTTAGTGTCAGAGTCACCTGTGCCCTCCTGGGAGCTACACCAGCTAGGCACCCCAATCCCTTGCCCCCTCCCACTCAGATCCTGCATGCCCAGCCTGTTCTTGCACCGTACCTCTCACCCAGATCCCCCAGTATGCTCCTGCACCCCCACTCCATTCCTGCACCCTACCTACTGCCCAGACCTTGCACGTCCATCAGCTCCCCCACCATCCTGCTCCCCAGCAGCCATTTTCCCCACACAATCCCTCATTTTTGGCTCCACCCCAGAGCTGAGGGGCCCCCCAAAATTACTAGCCTTGGACACACCGAAGAGTTAACCCAGTCCTGCGGTAAGCCCTGGGACTTGTCACTCTCCCCATACCTCTGTGGGATTGGAGCTCAATAGGAATAAGGGGAGTCTCTCTTTTTTTTCCTCCTCCACTTGGGGGCCCCATCAGTGAGGGTTTTTTTGTTTTTGTTTTTTTGTTTTGCTTCTCACTTGTGTGGCCCCCAACTGATTTTTCTCTGTCATTAGCTCCTGATCCCAAAAAGGTTCCCCACCCCGAGGTAGAATTTTTAATAACATAGGCCTGTCCAAATTCAGCAACTTCCCTTCAAGGCAGTGGAAATCTGTTCAGTTGTTCTTGCTCTTGATCCTAACATTCCATCTGGTTTAGGCTGGACACAGATCTGTCTTGTGTCACAGGCCTAGATGATGTTTTACTCCCTTCCTCTGTGTGTGTTTGTGTGCATGCCAGAGTCTTTCTACAGCTGTTTTCAAGGTTCAGTGCAAGGCCTCAGTGTTTGGGTCATTTCATCTTTAACTACAGATGCCTCCCTTCTTTAGCAGTTCTTCCTTTCTGGATTTTTCTTTTTGCTCAGTTACTTTTGTTTTGGTTACAGTAGCTGGTTTTATCCAATTTCTTTTATTATTGACTTTTGCATTTTTTCAAGTATCGGCCAAAAGGTGCCTTAGAAAAACACGAAAATAACTAAAAGTCTGTTTGGTTTTAATAGCTATCAAAGGTATTTTATTATAGTAAATTATTGTTTTATAGACTCTACATAAAGTTTTGCTATGGTATATAAACTCATACAATGTGCTTTTTGTAAGCTGTTAAAACAATTGTATGTTGTATTTATTCCTCTGGTAGGAAATTGATGGAAAGGCCCTACTGTTACTAAGGAGCGATATGATAATGAAATATATGGGACTGAAGTTGGGACCAGCATTAAAACTATGCTACCATATTGAGAGACTTAAACAAGGAAAGTATTAGCCAATGGAGACACAATAACCTATGTGTTCACATCAGACTTAACTCTCAGGTTCACAGACACGTTCCTTATTTAACAATGTTTTGTCATCAGAAAGACTTCAGTTTGCAAAAGCTTCCTTTCAGAATGTGATTACAAATTTACTGCCAAGTGAAAAGGACTATGTTACATTCTAGCAGTCTAATAATTATTTTTATTACACAAAAAGGTACTTGGTGCTGTGTGTTTTGAAAAAAAAATGTTTTCACGAGTACTACACTTCAGAGTGTTGAGAAATTCATTCTCTGCTACAGACTTCAACAGACATTCACATTCAGAACCAAAACAGCTTAATCCCAAAGGAAAAAACCAGCATCAGGTGTTTGATAACTTTTACAGGGATGGCTGTAAAACTTTACATTATAAGAAAATATGAAAGAAGCAGCAGTAGACTTCATCTCTAATGAATACACTTTGTCTGGTACTCCAGAAAAGTAATATTCATCTAAATTATACTATACAGATTTCCATAAAGGGAATAGCCATATTAATTGTTTTATTTGTGTGTTTTTAATACAAATATAAGCTTTTATAAAGTGTGGTTATCAGTTCTCTGGTAAATTTTGAGGACAAATGTACAGTATGTTGTCAGTATTTGCAGGCAGTATTTCTGTTTCATGGAGGGGCTTTTTTTTTTTCTTCTTTCCCTGTTTGAAACAGCTAACTGTTCAGGGATGAACAGACTTCCAGATGTCTCTGGAACAGAATACCCACATTTTAAGCATTCCGTCCTTTTGCTCAAGTTTGCATGGATATTTGTGTTCATGCTTATGTATCTATATGTGTGTGTGCAAGTGTGATACATCTGTATTGTACATATGTATTCAGTTTTTCATGCTTATGTATCTATATGTGTGTGTGCAAGTGTGATACATATGTATTCAGTTTTAAAAAAATGTGTTTAAAAGGTACTTTGCACTGTGACAGAGAATGAGAAACTGTACTGTTCAGTTTTTTTACCAGTAGATTTTTTTTTGTATACTTCTGTATTCATTAGCACCTATCTGCTTTGCTTTCCATTCATGGGGTAAGGAACAATCAATGGATGGGTGGATTCATACAAGAGATTATCCTGTACTATGCAAAACTACTGGTTACTCTTTACTTAGCTCTGAGCCATTTATTTTGGTAAGGTTTCTGGAAATACACATTTTGGTTCTGATGTTTCTTGTATTTTTGTATCTTTAAATATTTTACTTGTCATTAAGAAGTGGTACTCATATTAATATTCTTGTTTTGCATACAACTTGGTGCTTTTTATACAAGCTACAAAAAGTGAGTGTTGATAGTAAAATAGCTTGCTGTCACTGCCAATAAAATTATACATCAGGGACAAGAATTTACATTTTCTGTGTAGGAAATCGAATGTACTGTATGTAATAGTGCAAGTGAGGATAAAGAACTATTTACTAGCAAAGACATAGTCCAAAAAGATAGGTTTTACTATATTTCTTATTGACCTTTTTATATGAAAGTTTCTAGTAAAAAAAGTGTATTTTTTTTACAAATTTCTTGTTTTAAAATGCCTTGCTTATTGCTAGTTTAATACTCCTCAGGTTTTCGCTGAAATACTGAAAAATTATACTGTGTAGTTCTCAGATTTCAAAGTACATTTAAATAACTGCAACACAATTTTAATTTAGAACTTCATTTGTTTTTTAGGATTATTTTATTCTGCTATCATAAAACATTAAACACTAAGAGTTATGTGGGTTGTTTTACTTTATATATCCTTTGTGTACATGTGACTTTTAGATGGCCTCTACACACAAGCCTGCTTTTCATCTAGAAAAAGGCAAAACAATGATAGAAAAATATATAGTATATTTATGTTATATATTACTTATGCCATATTTCATCAATATGTTAAGCATTCTGCTGAATTTTTAATGTGAATGAGAAACAACACTCTCATGAAATTGCATTGGAAGTAACTTGCTCTGAAAGGATATTATTGCATTGTCCAAATAGTTAGTATAAATAAAATTAAGATGTTTATGTTGTCTGTTTTCCACAACATCCATACAGAACAAAGAAGCTTTAGCCTCTTTTCCCTGGCTGTGGTATAAATATTTGTTTATAAGTACACATGAAATGCTAGACTGTTGTACTCTAGGGTTTCACGTTGTATTATAGCATGAGAGCGAAGCGGTTTAACAGAATATATTTTAATTGATTATTTCCAACTGGATGTTCTTATCTAAAACAATTTTTTAAAGTTTGTTCAGAGTTCTAATTGTCCTTTCTGTTTAACATTGTATATATACTCTTCCTTCAACTAAAATTTGTGCAGACATCATAATTTGCTATATTATCTAGAATTTTGCAGAATTTGTAAACTTCTGATGTAAAGTTTTCTATTAAAGAAATATAACCTTGCAACATCTCATATGGAAAACAATTACTATATGAATTTATATGGATTTGTGTGTTTGAAATATGTGACACGATAGTTGTATACAGTATCTTGCTGCTTGTATGATTCACAAAATTTGCACACAAATGCCCATTTGAAAGGGATGGAAGACTCCTGCAAACAACTTGTACCATCAGGCACTACTTTATTTGTCAGAGGCTGGAAATGGATGACAGGAGAGGGATCACTTGGTGATTATCTGTTCTGGTCACTCCTTCTGGTGCATCTGGCGTTGGCCACTGTCGAAAGACAGGATACTGGGCAAGATGGACCTTTGGTCTGACCCAGTATGGCCATTCTTATAATGTTTCCAAAAATTTTAATGGTGCGATCTAAAGAACTGAATATTTTTCTTTCAATTTAAATGCTGCTGTTGAGGCTGTTCCCCACTCTTGCACTCGAAATGCAGAAAGCGAGGGCCCACAAGAGACCTGAAAAATATCTTGTCTCTATAGGCTTCTGCTTAAAAGCTCCCCTAGGTCATGGACCATTCTGTGGCCTTGGGAGGTAGCTGTCACCACCAAGTAAAGAAAAACCTTTCTTCTTGAACCCAGGAAGAAATCACTTGTACTTCTTCCAGAGGGGGACTACCCTCAAGTTCTTTTACCACAAGAGAGCTGGGAATAAAAAAAGACAACAAACTGCAATCTCTGATAGCTGATCTCTGTCTGATAGCAAATAAAAGAATTAAATCATTGCCTAAAAAAGGTGATTTTATTAACAAAACAAAAAAGATATACTTGATTGCTAGCTGTTACAGAACAACTCAGAAAAGAACAGAGATAAATTGTATCTCTGCGGGCTACAGCTTAAAATACAGTGTGTGTGTGTGGGGGGGGGAGACACATGGATTTAGTACAAAGAGAAGTTTAACCAAACAACAAAAAGAAAATCACCTGATAGCGTCTAAATAGGTATTTCCCTGTCTACTTACAATCCGTGCTTCAAGATTCAGTCCATTTCCATGCCCAGTATTCTTCGTAGGCATGGTAGTTCTGCCTGGTTCAATTTAGCTTCTTCCCCCCAACTCCTGGCTTAAAAACTCACACAAAGAAGAACAGCAGGCGGAGATTCCTTTCATTTCAAATCTCAGCACCTTCCCCCATTGGCTCTCTTGGCTCCATGTCAACACCTCCTAGCTACCTGAGTTAAACCCTTTGGTTCCTGAATGCTGGGATGTTCAGAAAAGGCCAGCACTCTTCCTATCCATCACACCTGCCTAGATTAAATGTGGTTTAGAACTGATACAGCCAAGTGCATTTTATAAGAATCCTTTGGAATTATACTTGTTTCATGTTATATATAAATACTGTAATCTGGGTCATGTTAAAAATGCAGTTAAAAACATACAAACACACTGCATACAGAAATTAAACCAGATTCTGATTTTTTAGTTTCAAATGGCGGGAAATGGATTTGGTCGTGATTGTAGTTTCCACAGGGACCTACTAAATTCAAAAAGATTGTGTTTGGTATGTATTCTGGGGGGCTCAGTTTGAGCACCAATACTCTTAAGGGCTTCTGTTGAAATTTTGAGTGTTCATCACTTCTGAATCTGGCTTGTTTTTCTTCCAGTACACATTGCCCAATACTTGTGTCCTGTGTCTAAGCAAAGACTGACTTATTTAAGTCAAATGTTTTAATATCAACTAACATAGACCTCAATTACAAATTAATGTACTGTACTTCAGATTTTATTACTGTTACACAGAAGTCTATTGTTTTGTTGCCAGCCCTGAACAATCAGCTTGCAATTTAGAAGTAACTTAATCAAGTGAGTAGTAACTTCAAAGCAAAACGTGGACAGGAAAACTACAGAAGTTGGGATCCAGCTAAAATAATCAAGAGGTGGTTTGAATCCAGTCTCTCGGAATATATTGGTTACATGGAAAAGAGAAGAATATACATGGAATGTGTTCTCTGCTGCTAGCATGGTTTTGCAGCTGATCATGTCTGATTCTTTCTTTCATAGTTTCTCTTGATGTTAAAGGCAGGAATATATATTTTAGATAGGACTCTAAATATTTATTTAATCTAAAATTAAAAATTAACCCATTGGCATTAAATTATAGATTGATATTGTTTACAATAGCTTCTCTAACTAGCTTTGTAACTCTTGTAACAGAATAGTGGCAAGGTTCATCAGTGGTTGTGACAGTTACAAATTCAACACTTCCATTACAAATATCTGTAAACTATTACAGCGCTTTGCTTGAATAGACATTATTCAGGAGCACATTATAAACTATGATTTGAATCAATACTAGGAGAAGGGAGGGTTGCTTTTTATAAGGGCACTTCATTATTTATTCATGGAAGATGCAGGTATTTGCTTGGGCACCTTCACCTTAAATGCTTACAGCATTAAACATCATTGCTTTTTTGTTCTCAACTATTTATAAACATGCTATTTTTGCTGGAGCTAAGATTGGTGCATGGGACATTCAGAATCATGTTTGAAGACTCCTTAATGTGATACCTAATTTTTCAAAAGATCACTGCAATTATTTTATCTGAATTAATCTGCAAAGGTACGATGAGTCTTGAGTAAGGACCTCAGGATTTTGGCCCATTTTCCAGGTGATTATTTGTGTGTTTTCTTCTTAATTTTGGAAGTCAAACAACTTGGTTGAATGTATTAAGCAAGAGTTCTTAAATGCTTTCATAGGGTGGATTGCATCTGAATGTCTTAATTCACACTCTCACATCCCACCTAACTCACTTTGCACAATCACATAACATCCTGGTGCTATCTACAGACATTTTTTACATGGAACATTTAAGGAAATAATTCAATGTAATTTTACCTTATTATTTGTATTACTGTAGCACCCTGGGGTCCTTAGCCTAGACCAAGACCTCATTGTGCTAAGCACTGTATGAACACAGAACAAAAAAAGGAATTACACTTAAAGTGTAAGACAGGAGACCAAGAGATAGATGTAGCTGTACAAG